GCAATTTAATATATCAAGCTTATATTTGGACCGAATGACGATGAATGTTACATTTAGTTGACCTAAAGTCTTTTTCATTTATCTATTTCTAGTCCTTTTGCTTCTCGGGTTCTTCGCTGTTGACAAGGACCCTATTTTTTCATAATAACTTTGGGCCATTTTTATTGAAATATAATAATAAAAAATGGTCCCGTTAGTTAGATCCACGCCATAAATATTACTCGGTTTATTTACTTAATTATTTTCACTTGCTTTCCTACTTTCTTTTTACTAATTTCCAATTAGGCACTGTAGTCGTGAAAATTTGAGAACAATAGTTCTTCACAATTGTTGTTGTCAGGGTGATTAATCTCTCCCTATATATTAATTCAAAACATGTTGTGCATATGTGACATATTCTCTCGCATCGAATGATGACATGAAAAATTTATGTTTCGTAATGTTGTTTATATATTCATTTTTGCTCTGGAGTTAGACTTGGTATAAGACATAAATATTTTTTTTCATACTTGGTAAGTGTATATTTAATTTTTGTTATTTTTTCTATTAGTACGCGTTTCCTTCTTAGTTTAGGCATTTAGTAATCTTACCATTTTATAATTTTCTCTAATAAATTTCAATTTATAAATCATTGTTTATACATTTCTCAACTCAACACACGTTAAACACGTGTAGTACACGAATATTGTACTAGTATAGTTGAATCCAAAAATATAGTTCAATAACCACTACGTAGTCTAACAAAGGACATATCTCTTTCTTTTATCACGTTTGTGTCCTAGTCTCAATTAAATATTTTTCATTACATAAAAAAGACATACTTCTTATACAATTTTCATAAAAAATAATAAGCTTATATGACAACAAAGTTTATAATAAAATAACTAGTGAGTAGTAGATGGTGAACAAGAATAAGTAAAATAAATATTTTCTCTTATATCAAGAATAAATATAATAAAATTATATTTATATTGGATAAGTATGTAGTGAAATAATATATTAATTAACTTAGAGGATAATATTATGATGCACATATTTAATGTTCTGGTTAAAAAACGCTAATTAAAATAGGTAAAAAATAGATGATCCAACTCTCTTATTTTTTAGATTTAAATGGACAGTCTGTAGAAATAACTAATTTAATATATGTGTCTTGTGCATCGATAGCATACTATTATATCCAAATGCTCAATTATGAAAGCATGGTCAATTATGTAAAGGTCAATGTTCTTCGTTCAAATCCATTATTGGACTTGAAAGATGCAACCTAACTTCACGAAAATAATAAATTACATTTATGGTAATCAATAAATTATTATGTGCCATAATCCTGCAAAGTTTATTTATTCTGCAAATACATATAGTAAGTATTAATCAAGATTTTTGAATTTTCTAATTTCAATACAATATGGACGTTCATTTCGGATTCTTAAAAACTTTGAGATTTCAAT